AGGAGGAGTGGGAGTGGGAGGAGGGATGAGGAGGTTAACGAGTAGGAGTAGGAGGAGGAAAAGGATGAGGAGGATAAGGAGGATGAGGAGGATGAGGAGGATGGGGAGGAGGAGGAGGAAGAAGGGAGGGGGAGTAGGAGGATGAGGAGGATGAAGAGGATGAGGAGGATGAGGAGTAGGAGGAGGAGGAGGAGGAGGAGGAGAGAGGAGGAGGAGAAGTAGGACTAGGCGGATGAGGAGGATAAGGAGGAGGAGGAGGAGGAGAAGAAGCAGGACGATGAGGAGGAAGAGGAGGAGGAGGAGGAGGAGGAGGAGGAGGAGGAGGAGGAGGAGGGAGAAGGAAGCAGGAGGAGGAGGAGGAGGACGAGGAGGAGGAGAACCACACGGCGAGGCGAATCAGCTTGGATTCGGGAACTGGGACTCGGGCCCTTCTCTCCGAGGGCGCCTCGGGCGACGGGGGTCGCCCGGGGCCTCTGGGGGCGGTCCTCGTCGCCGCGCGGTTTTTGGGGCCAGTTTTTGCATGCAACAACTGGTTCCCCCCAAAAATGTTTGTTAAATCCAAAAACTAGTTTGTGTTGAATTCAAGAAGTTATTGTTTGAATTCAAAAACTGGTTTTTCGAATTCGAAAACCAGTTGTTGGAATTCAAGAACCAGTTTTTGTGAATTCAAAAACCGGACAAGGTGCCGCCGCTGTGCTCGTGCAGCTTCCCGCTGTCGCGGGCCGAGGTTGGCGGCGCCCGCTCTGGCCGGGAGCTGCGCAGCTTCCCGCTCCTCGTCCGGGCAGAGGTCGGGGACAGCGTTCGGGGCGGACGGGCTCTGGGGTGACGTCATCAGGCGATCGCAAACACGGATCGAGGGGGCGCGGATTAGCGACGGGTCCCGTTTCCGTGGGACATCGCGGATTTCCGCCGCCGAGCGAGGCGGCATTGGCCGCATTTTGAGGAGTGCAGCTCCCCCAGCCCATGGATTTGGCGACCGCGCGCAGAATCCACGGATCGCTCATCCATGCTTGCGCGCCCCCGACGTCAGGGGGGACTACGACGAGTCCGAGGCCCAGGGCTCTCGGCCGCCTGTTTTCGGTGGTTCTCGGCGGCTTTCCAGCCTCGGGCTGCTCTCCAGCGGCCGCGCCTGGCCGAGGCCGTTCCGCGGTTGCCCGGATCGTCCCGAGCGGGTGCCGGAAAGCCGAGCGAGGAACCGAGAGCCGGGGTGGCAAGGGCCGGGGAGAGAGGCTCCGCGAGGAGGTCCACAGAGGGCGTTCTGCTCTGGACCCACGCAAGCTCACTTGCATGGCAAAGGCTCAGGGGGCATAATCAGGCTCAGGGATATTTTTTGGGGAGGAGGAGCGGCTCGGGGGGGATGCATGTGCCCTCACTCGGCTGCTCTTCGCCACCAGGGGGCCCGATGCCCCTCACCGCCCAGGAACGCTCGGAGCCGCTATGGGGAGCCCACTGCCGATGTTTTTGTCGATGTGGGGCGTTCCAAAGAGGGCCTCGCCTTCGAGGATCGAAGCAGTTGTCATCTCTTCCGCGACGGAAGGCGGCGGCGGAAGGGCGGCAGAAGGTCGGCGGAAGTAATTAGATCGAGGCCGCCTCCGCCGGCGGAAGCCCGCGGAATCCGGCGGAAGTTCGGCGGAAGCTGGCGGAAGTATTTAAGAGATGCGCCCCCAAGAGATTAATATTTTTGGGGTTTCCGGGTTTCCGAAAGCGCCCATGTGCCCCCCGCCTGAGCTCGCTCCCCCTTTGACGTTCCCCCTCCAGAGGGGAGCGGCCACTCCGCCGAGGGAGTGCCGCACCTCTGCGGGCTGGCGGAGGCTGGCAGCGTCACCCTCGCGCTGGGGCCGGCTGCCGCGGACTTCGTCCGCGCGGAGCGCGGGGGCCCCCTGGACTGGTGCGGTGACCACGCCGTGTGGTGGAGGGTTTCTCCGAAGGGCTTAGGCGACCCGTCCTCCTCCTCCTCCTCCTCCTCCTCCTCCTCCTCCTCCTCCTCCTCCTCCTCCTCCTCCTCGGGTCGCCTGCAGCCCCGGGGGAAACCGTGCACCGTGTGGTGACCACACTGTTCGAGCAGTGGCGAAGCTTCCTGGCCCACCAAAGAATGGTCTAAAGAGCCTTCTGTGGTCTGTACGACATGTTCTCAGAACATGCCAGGAAGGTATCGTTCTGTTCAACACATCTGGTTTATGCTATAAGAAATAGTTGCATTTGCTCTTGGAGAACGTTTGGGTTCTGAGGAAATTTCGTGGTAGGCCTGTAGGAATGCGGGGACGGTCGGTCCCTGCTCAAACCGTGGCGTTGGATTCGGGATTTTCGGATGTTTGCGTCGGTTTCTGTGGGTTTCCTGGCCTCGGGACGTGTTCCAGCAACTGCGCCTCGCCGAAAGCGTTCCAGGGGGGCCCAGGTCGTCCTGCATGGCCGCCGGAGACCCGCAAACGCAGCATTCGGAGGAGGGCCAGTGGGGGGAGTCAATGGGGACCGGGGGGACCACACCGTTTCGTGCTCGGGTCGCGCTCCGAGGACGCCTTGGGCGACTGGGGACCCCAGGGTCTCACACAACGGTGCCTAGACGGTCCGAGCGGTAATGTCTTTCGGGATTTCGTCGCCTTCCTCCTCCTCCTCCTCCTCCTCCTCCTCCTCCTCCTCCTCCTGCTCCTCCTGCTCCTCCTCCTCCTCCTCCTCCTCCTCCTCCGCCTCTTCCTCCTCCTCCTACTCCTCCTCCTCCGCGGGCCGTCGCCGCACCGTTTTTTGGGGCCCCCGAGGAACCACTGGCGCAGATGGCCGCCGGGCGGGGTCGCCAGCAGAGCTTCCCCGTCGAGGACCAGCTCGGCCGGCTGAGAGGCCTGCTCGGGTGCAAGAGGCGCAGCCCTCAAGCAGTGGCGAAGGGTCCTGGCTCGCCTATAGGCCCACCAAACGATGTTCTGAGAACCTGTTTGTGGTTGGCACGAGATGTTCTTAGAACATGTATGGCTGAGTCCGTTTTGTTTTAACGCATCGGGTGTATGTTCCAAGAACATGTGTTCGTTCTCAGAACATGTTTGGGTTCTGAGAGCATGTCGTGGTAGGCCTATAGGAATGCCGGGACGGTCGGTCCCTGCTCAAGCAGCGTCGGCGCCGGTAGGTCCGTGGTTGAAGCCCAAGCCGCTCTCGCGGAAGGCCTCCCAGCAGTTGCCTCCGAACGAGGCAATGGCGAAGCGCCCAGACTCCCTTACAGGCCCACCAAACAAGTTTATGCATCCATTCATGTGTATGTATATATGTACATGCATACATACATGCATGCACAGAGAGACAGACAGACTGGCAGGCAGGCAGGCAGGCAGACAGACAGACAGACAGACAATCGGGCAGACAGGCAGACAGACAGACAGACATGCATCACACGCATCGCACTTCTGGCTGAGACAGACTCGTTTTCATCCACTGGTTCTGGGCTCTACGAACTGTAAGGGAGCCTCTTTGTCTTCTACGAGCCCGCCGAGAGAGGCCTGACGGTCGGCCCCTCCTCTCCTTCCCCCTTGCCTGCCCAGCGCGTGCGCCGGTGCACCGCCGGCATGCGCAGCCCCGTGAAGTCCTCGAGAGATTGCGCAGGTGCCGTCCAGCCGAGGCCCTGGGCTGCAGCCTGGCCGTCTTTGCGCTCGTGCTGGCCTGGCCTGGCGAGGAGGGAGGAGGGAGGAGGGAGGGAGGGAGGGAGGGAGGGAGGAGGGAAGGAGGGAGGGGAGGGAGGGGAGGGGAGGGGAGGGGAGGGGAGGCAAGCTAGGTGCGCTCGCGTCATATCTGACGTCCTACCCCTCCCTCCCGTCCCTTACCATGGCGCAGATCTCCTCTCTATTCGCAAAATCGGCCGTCGTAGCATGGCGTAGCATTACATGGCATAGCATGGTGTCGAAGATTAACGCGTAGCATGACATAGCATGGCGTGGCGACGCACCAAAATGAGGGGGGGGTCTTCTGCGGCCCAACAAATCAAATACTCGGCACCGAAGGTATAATCATTTCCGATGGTTTTTTCGGGAGGCCATTTTTGGGATTTGGGGGCCTTTTTGGAAGCATCGTAAACCATGCCGTGGCATGGCACTGGAAATAATGACGCCAGCGCTGCAGCGGCAGCACGACTCGGAACGACCGGAAGCAAGAAAATGAGGCCAGCGCTGCAGCGGGAGCACGATTCGGAACGATCGGTAGTGCTTCAGCGAGAGCAGCACTCCACCAGAAAAGCGCGGAAGCGCGGAAACGAGAACGCGTAGCCTGACATAGCATGGTGTGGCGGCGCCCCAAAGTGGGCAGGGGGGCTTCTGCGGCGCAAGAAATCGACGAATCGACACGGAAAGTGTAATTACGTCCGATGGTTGCTTCGGGGAGCATGTTTTAGATGTGCGGGCCTTTTCGGAGGACCGAAAACCATGCCGTGGCATGGGGCTGGCAATAATGACGCCAGCGCTGAAGCTGGAGCACGATTCGGAACGAACGGAAGCGCGGAAATGACGCCAGCGCTGCAGCGGGAGAACGATTCGGAACGAGCGGTAGCCCGAAAACGAGGCCAGCGCTTCAGCGAGAGCAGTATAAAATCCAAGCGAAAACCCGTTTCGGGGAAATCCTGTGTGTAAAAAAACCGTACGCGGAGAGGGGCTGGTCATTTCCCGGACGCCAGTGGAGAGAGGAGAGTAGTATTCATATTGTTTAATTGTGGAGGGGAGGGGAGGGGAGTCGAGGGGGGAGGAGGAGGAGGAGGAGGAGGAGGAGGAGGAGGAGGAGGAGGAGGAGAGGAGGAGGAGGAGGAGGAGGAGGAGGAGGAGGAGGAGGAGGAGGAGGAGGAGGAGGAGGAGGAGGAGGAGGAGGAGGAGGAGGAGGAGGAGGAGGAGGAGGAGGAGGAGGAGGAGGAGGAGGAGAGGAGGAGGAGGAGGAGGAGGAGGAGGAGGAGGAGGAGGAGGAGGAGGAGGAGGAGGAGGAGGAGGAGAGGAGGAGGAGGAGAGGCGGACGGGAGGAGGAGGCAGGTGAGGAAGAGAAGGAGGAGGAGGAGGAGGAGGAGGAGGAGGAGAGGAGAGGAGGCGGAGAGGAGGAGGAGAGAGAGGAGGAGGAGGAGGAGGAGGAGGAGGAGGAGAGGAGGAGGAGGAGGAGGAGAGGAGGAGGAGGAGGAGGCGGAGGAGGAGAGGTGGAGGAGGAGGAGGAAGAGGAGGAGGCGGAGGAGGAGAGGAGGAGGATGAGGAGGAGGAGGAGGAGGAGGAGGAGGAGTCCGTGTTCAGCCCGAGGCATGTGCCAGAGCCAGCAGCGCGCGCTCGCCGCGGTGGCCTCCCAGCTGGAGCGGATGCAGGCGGGTCTGCAGGGCGCCGAGGGCCGCCGCAGGACGCTTGAGGCCGAGCGCGAGGAGCTGCTGCGGCGGACCAGCGACGACTGCCTCCGCCTCGAGAGGCTGTCGGGGAGCCTCGCCCTCGCGCAGAGGGTTGGATGAGCATCGTTTATCCTCTCCCCGTCCCCAGCGGCGTGGCCTGGGCCCCACTGGCCGTCCCCTGCTGGTTTCGAGGGGTGTATCCCCAACGGGGGGGGGTAATTTGGTGGGGGTCTCGAAGGGGATGGGGATGGGGATGGGGATCGGTTAAACGATACTGATCGGAGGGCTACCCTTCGCCCTTTTTCCCCTTTTGCCGCCTCCTGGGCGGCTCTCGTCGCCGCCGCTGGATTCGCATCGAGATTCTGGTTAGAACGCACCTCGGGAGAGATCCTGGGAGTAGTGGTATCGGTACCTGCTGGTTTCCCCGGTCGGGGAGCTTCCGCCACGCGCAGAGGGGGTAACCGAGATGGGTGTGCAGAACCCCTCCCCCACTCAGGGAGGGATGAGGAGGAGGAGGAGGAGGAGGAGGCGGAGGAGGAGGAGGAGGAGGAGGAGGAGGAGGAGGAGGAGGAGCAGGAGCAGGAGCAGGAGCAGGAGCAGCAGGAGGAGGAGAAGCAGCAGCAGCAGAAGGAGGAGAAGGAGGAGGAGGAGGAGGAGGAGGAGGAGGATGGTCGAAGTTGTCCCCCGCCGAGAGAAACTGGTGGGGGGAAGTGCTGCTTCCTAAAAGGCGCGGGCCTTCCCTCCTTCTAAGAAGCCTCCCCCCTCCACCTGCACCCTTGTGCTCGCCGCCAGCCCTCTGCGTCGCGACAGAAATCACGTTGGGGTTCTCGCGCAGTCTTCGACCTCTGGAGGCCCTCGCCAGGCCCTGGGGCCGTCCAGGAACAGCTCGGCAGGCTGAAGAGCAGGCCTCAAGGAGGGGGTGCAGACCTCTTCTCCGCGTTATGGAGACATCGCGACGTCGGAGATGTGCGGTCGGTTTCTGATGTTTTTTGCCTCGAGGTGCTTTCCGGCAGCTGCGCCCCGCCGAGGGCGCTCGGGGGGTGCCAGGGTCGTTCCGAGCGGCCGTCGGAGAGGTGAGCTGTGACCCGAGAGCCACTTGGAAACGTCACGTCAGGAGGGGATCGGCGCAGGCGGAAGCGCATGGACCCCCCAATCGCCCTTCCATCGCCGTTCGGGGGCCTGATGGCCCTCGCCCCATCGGGTGCATATCGCTGGTCTGTCGGCGATGTATCCTCGATTCTGGGTCGATGTTCCCCCCCCCCCCCCCCCCGTCCCCGAGCCTGTCCCCCCTGACGTTGCCCCTTAGGTTGACGCTCCCGCACCTCACCGACTTGGACCTGGACCTGATGCTCTCGCTGCCGTCTGGGCACGGCGCCGTCGCCGGGCTGTACATCTCGGCGGAGGGCCAGGTGAGATCGGCCCTGCGTAAGAGTGACCCTTCGCCGCAGTGGCCTTTGGTTCGGGACCACAGGGCCCACCCCAGCGGCCCTTCATACAAAGCCGCCCATCGAAGGTCACCCCTGCATAGGGTCACTCTTGTTCGCCGGTAGTCGGTAAGAGATGGGCGGCCCTGCCACCCGGCCCATATCCGCTCAGCACCCCCATCCTGACCCGCTTCCGAAGCGGATCCGGCGGTGGCGGCGCAGCACGGAGCAGTCTGCAGGAGGCCCAGCAGATCAAGCAGTGGCGGAGCGTCCTGGCTCGCCTATAGGCCTACCACAGAATGTTCCAAGAACCTGCTGTGGTTTGCACGAAGCGTTCTTAGAACGGTTCTGGCTGGGACGGTCTTGTTTTAGCACATCGGGTTCTTGTTCTAAGAACATTGTTTTTGTTCTGAGAACATATCTGGGTCCTAAGACCAGTTCGTGGTAGGCCCACAGGTAACTATGCCCGGACGGTCGGTCCCTGCTCAAGCAGAGAGGGCGAACCGCGCCAGGTGCAGGGCCGCCGCTTTCTTTCGCCCCGGCCCTCCTCCGAGCATCGCCGCCTGCGAGCGGTGGCACGGGGCGCAGGACGAGGGCATCAGGACTGGGGCTTCGCCCTCCTGTGTTTTTTTTCTTCCGGCGCAGCACGGCAGGGGCGACCCGCACTGCACGCGCGTCGGGACGAGACCGGGACGCGGCATCGCGCATCAGCCTGGAGTCGGGCCTGCCCCTCTACAGGAGGAACAGTCAAAGACAGTCAGACAATAGTCTGGGTACGAGTGTTTGATGATTCTTTGAATCTGTTTGCGAATATTTTTTGTTTCTCGTCCAAGCTCCGCCCGTAGGGGGGGACGCGCCCGACCCATCATTGGCCCGCAGGCGGGAGGAGGAGGGAAGGAGGGAGGGCGGCCGCAGGGGGGAAGGCAAGGCGCGGGGGCACTCTCCAGCGTACCCCCAATCCAGGTGATGGGCAAATTTTCCACCACCACCACCACCACCACCACCAGAAGTAGCGGGGGGGGGTCCTCCTCCTCCTCCTCCTCCTCCTCCTCCTCCTCCTCCTCCTCCTCCTCCTCCTCCTCTTCATCCTCCTTTCCCCCTCCAACTTAGGGTGGTGGTTGTGGAAAGCAAGCCCAACACCAGGGACGCGCGCGCGCGCTCAGAAATCTTTCAGTGTGTGCCCCGTGGCTAGCGCTGTCTGGCCGTGCTGCAGGGGCGGCGACAGACTATAATCAAGTCGGACCTGTCCCTCTACAGGGGGAAACTTCAAAAATAGTTGAAACATAGTGTGGGAACGATTTTTTGTTTTGCCGATTTTTGAATATTTGTTTGATCTTCGTTTGAGTATTTTTCTTCTTTCGCTCAAAATCCCCCTGTAGGGGGACAGGACAGGCCCGACCTAAGACTATCAGATGGTTGTGCTGTTACCTGGTCGGCGCCCAATCCTGCGCGATCCCGCTTCCTCCGCGGCCCGACCTGGCACAACGGCCCCCCAATGGGGCCTTCGCCCTCCCTCACCCTTGCCGACGGAGGCCTCCCAGCGGTTTTACGTCGGGCGTGTCCCTCTACATGGGTCAAACATATAGTTGATTAGAATCGTTTGCCTGGGGACTGCTTGTCGATTCTTTCTGGGCATTTGGGGGGTTCTTTTTTGTGAAGATTTCAAAGGTTTCGCCCACGGTTCCCCTGTATGGGGGACATGCCCGCCCCAACAGCAGCTGCCTCCTGACGCATGCCCCTCCTGCGCCACCGGCAGGAAGCTGCAGGAGCTCAAGCAGGCCCGCGAGGAGGCCGAGCGCGCCCGGGCGCTGCTCGGCGGCATGCGTCGGCTCGAGGCCGCCCGCGAGGAGCAGGGGCTGGCGCTGCAGCGGGCCGAGCGCGCGATGGCGGAGATGGCGCGGGCGCGGGACCTCGGAGGAGAAGAACCCTCCTCCTCCACCCTCCTCCTCCTCCCCCTCCTCCCCCTCCTCCTCTCTACGCTCGTCCCCTCCTCCTCCTCCTCCTCTTCCTCCTCCTCCTCGTTCTCGCCCCCCCTTGCGCCGCCCCCTCGAGTCATGAGAACATCACAACGGAAGGTTTTTCTACAATTTTCGGCCCCTGGAGGCCCTTGCCGGCCCTCGGGGCCGTCAAACAACGACTCAGAATGAAAAGCCGGTTCCGGCGAATAGGTCCGGACCTTTGGGGGTCGCGTAATGAAAAAATCATGACGTCGGGGGTTTGGGGTGGAGGCCCATGCCAAGAAACGCTCTGCTTGCCTCCAGGGTGTGCTGGGTTTCTCGGGTTTCGATGGTTTTGCGATGTGGATCGCGACGCCCCCACGCCAAAAATCAAGGGATGTCCTGGGGTCTGAGGATTGGGTCTCTTGTGGAAGGTTTCCTGTGGATTGGCCTCCACTGCATCAGTGGGCGGAACAGGGTAGACTATAAATCTCTCCGCCGTCGGGGAGATTCTGGTCAGACCGCGGGAGAGGTCAGGGCAGCAGCGGTATCCGTACCTCTTTGGTTTCCCCAGGACCTGGCCGCCAGCCAGGAGCTCAGCGTCGTCTAACCGATCCCCATCCCCGCCTTGGCCTCGCTCGGACGTGTGCATTTTTGGGTGTCGTCTTGGAGCACCTTTGATCACATGGAGGTATTCGTTTCTTTCAAGGTCACGCTCGAACCCAAACAATGCACTGGGACTGGACGTCCGAGCAAAGGCAAGCCACTGGGCCATGGCATCTCATCCCCACCACCCCGGCCCCCCCCCCCGAGATGCGGGGACAGGCCCCGCGAAACCCAGGTGGTACACGGGCACACCGCCCCTCCCTCCGAGGGGCAGTCGGCCAGGGTGGGGCCATGGCCATACCAGTGGGTGTGGGGATCCGTGGGCCGATGCTCAGGAGCGGGTCATCCGCGAAGAAGGCAAGTTGGCACCGGCATAACCTCTCGGAGGCCCGCGCGGATTCCTCGGAGTTGCGCTGGAAGACCCCCCCTGACCGCAACGTGTGGCGAGACGGTGGGGATTCGGGGCGACCGCACGGTTTTGAAACTTGGGCCGTTCTCCGCAGATAGGGTGGCGATCGGCGCGGGCCCCCCCCCCCCCCCCTCCCCCCCCCCTGGAGTGGATCTTGACTGCTTGGGGCGCTTGTTTCGAGCAGGTAGAGTCTCTCCCCTCATAGGACTCAGTGAACAGTCGCACTATGCACAGGTCCGGAGCCAGACCCCCTTCCCCCTCCCCCCCCCTTCCGCCCAATGTAGAAACGCCGAATAAAGAAACGCTCACGTGTCGCGGGCGGCTGGGGCCTCCAATAGAGCACCGTTCAATGCAAACGCGGGTCACCCAGAGCGCCCGATCTTGCAGGATCTTGCAGGGCCAGGGTCGCATTGACCCGGGCTCGGGTGCAAGATCCTGCAGCATCTTGCAGGACCCTTCGCATTGACCCGGGCTTGGGTGCGGGATCTTGCAGGAGTCTGCACGGCCTGACTGGCCCTGGCCCGGATGGACCCGGCCCAGAAGATCCCCGAACCCGTGCGGTGGCGGGCCGTGCGGTGCGGCCTTTGAGGATGTCGGGGTCCTTGCGCGGTCTGTCGCCGCACCGTACCCGTTGGGGGGAGCCCCCCGAGCGCAGGGGGCGGGGGAGGGCGGGAGCAGAGCTCAAGCAGTGGCGAAGCGTCCCGGCTCGCCTGAGGAGGCCCATCGAAGAGTTCTCTGAGGACCTTCTCTGTGGTCTGCACGACGTGCTCTTCGAACCTTTCTGGCCCGGACTGCTTTGTTTCCACGCATCGGGCTCATGCTCTAAGAGCGCTGTTCTTGTTATTAGAACAGTTTGGGCTTCTAAGATCATGTCGTGGGAGGCCTGTAGGATCGGGTCGGGCGAAAGGGGGGGTTGGGGGAAGGGGGGGGGTACGAAATCTGCTGCATGCAGCTGGTTTCGGCCCGACGAGGGGCCCATTCCTCGATACATGGGGCGCCTCCCGGCGCCGGGAGGCGCCGGGAAAATCAGCTACGTGAGCTGATTCTCAACCCCCCCCTTTTGCTATCCCCCCCTTTCGCCCGACCCGATAGGAGTGCCGGGACGGTATGGGCACAGACATCGTAATGTACACCACGGCAGGAGCCAAGGGCTTCGTCTTCCTGCGCCACTGTTCGGGCGGGGTCCTCGGTCTGTGAGGGGTCCTGGGGGCCGAAAGTTGGGCGAAGGCGCCCGCTGTGGAGGAGTTTTCCAGCGGCAGGATGAGGTCGGGCCTGTCCCCCTGCAGGGGGACTTCGGGCGAAAAGTTAGACGTATTCAAACCATAGTCCCAGCATGCTCAAGAACAGTCAGAAATAGTCCCCAGATCATTGTTGTCGCTCTTTCTGAATGTCCCTCCTGTGAAGGGACGGGCCAGACTTGAACGCCAGGATCGGTGTGGGCTGGCGCCGATCCGAGGAGCCCGCGCGGACCTCCGAAGAGGTTTGTGTGCCTCGGAGGCCGCGACGAGAAGGGCGAACAGCCCAGGGGCGGGCCTCACACGCACTCGCCTGAGGTAGCCTCGCCGAAGGCACGGGCCGTGTGCGCCCCTGGATACTTACATATTCGGGCCAGGAGAGCTATGCACATGCACCGACCCTGACAGCGTCCATCCTTGACCCAGGATCGGTGCATATGCCTTCCTGGCCAAGGTAGGAGGGCGTATGCACCGATCCTGGGCTCAGGATGGGCCTGGCCAGAATCGGTGTATGTGCATAGTTCTCTTTCCTCTACGTATGCTGCTCTCCCCTGGGCCGTTCGCGAGCATTTTCGTTGGGTGGAGGGCAAAGGGTGAAGTCGGAGATGCCGTTTCGATGGATGTTCGAGGCTTGCATCTGCAAGCGGTGAATCGCAAGACGGATTGGGTCTTCGGGGTGCGCAAGCCCATATGGGTTTCGCCCTGAGCCCTCCACCCTAGGAAGATGCCGAACATTCGCCCTTGTCGTCGCCTCCGAGTGTCGTGTGCCGACGTGCCTTCTTCCGCATCGCCAGCCTCGAAGCGCAGCTCACCGCGGCGGCGGCGGGCGTCAGAGGCGGGGAGCCCGCGCTGCTCAAGGAGCCGGGGGGCAGCAGCGGGGGCTCGGCGTCACCCAAGTATGCTAATGGTAAGTCGGGCCTGTCCCTCTACAGGAGCGATATTCCCAAAATAGTCACACAATAGTATGGGGATTATTTTTTCACTTTTTTCGAGCATGCTGGGGGTATGTTGTCCGTATTGTTTTGATTGTCCGCCCATAATCCCCCTGTAGGGGGACAGGCCCGACCTAATGCTAATACTATGTGTACGTCGCGCGCGCCGAGACCGAGGGATAAAATATCGAGGTTGATTCGGGGAGGGTGCCCTGATGTTTTTCGTGTTGGTTGGACGTTCTTGTGCATCCCGGGGGAGGGTACCCTCGAATGTTATTCAGTTTGGCCCACGGAGGGCCTCATGTGTTTGAAGGTTGTTCTTCTGTCAGGGTGTTCGTTGCCGGTGTTTTCTGGCCGTAGTGTATGTTTCGTTGCGGGTGTTTTCTGGCCGTATCGCTTGGTAAGTATGCTACAATATTGTTGTATCATATGTTGTGCTATAAGTTCGGGTCAGAAGCACGCCTCCGAAGAAGACACATAGTTCTAGTATCTAATGGCCTTCGGTCCATCAACCACCGTGCCTGGGTTGTGGGTATGAAGCCTCTTGGATGTTCGTTGGGATCTCGTGCGAGGCTTCTCGGGGGCCTCTTGGAGGCAGTCTGGGGGCCGTGGGGGGGCCTCTTGAGGGCCGTTTGGGGGCCTCTTGGGGCCTCTCTCTTGGGGGCCTCTTGGGAACCTCATGGGGCCTCTGGGAGCCTCCTGGAGGCTTCTTGGGGCCTCCTGGGGCACCTTTTGAGGCGGAAGGCTCGAATTGTCGGTTCGTGTTCCCTCTCCTGGGCTCCTTTCAGGGCCGTCTTGGGGCCTGTTGGGCCGTTTGGGGAACCTCTCTGGCCGTCTTGGGGGCCTCTTGGGCCGTTTGGGGGCCCTCTCGGAGTCGATCTGTGCAGGTCCCTGGGGCCCGAAGCTGCGCGAGAGCGCTCGTCGTGAACAAACGGCAGCGCCAGGATCTCAGGGAGCCTCGAACCTCGCACCCCCCCTCCCCCTCCCCCTCCTCCTGCTCCCCCTCCTCCTCCTCGCGCAGAGGGGGGGTGGGGGGAGGGGGGAGGGCTTCTTAGAAGCACCCTTGCTCCTTAGAAGGCGCGGGCCTTATCTACAGGTGTGAGGCTGGCGCCTCCTAAGAAGCAGCCTCCTTCTGAGAAGCCCTCCCCCCTCCCCGCCAATAGACGCATGTCTCGTAGGCTCGACGAGTCCATCCATGCTGCCTCGCTCCGCAGCCCGCAGGAGCGCGCCGCGCAGGCCGCGCTGCACGAGCGGCTGCTGCACCTGGAGCGGGCGATGCGGAGCTCGCGGGACGCCGACGCCGCGGTGCGGGAGGGCCTCCCCCAGCGGCGCTGCACGGCGCGGGGATGGCGCGAGGGGGGCGCCTCGCCGGGCACAACGAAGCACCACAGCCACGGCCGAGTGTTTTTCCCAACCATCCTGTGGTGTTGGGTCCTCGTTTTGAAGAGACGGTGGTCCGCGTCTCCTCCTCCTCTCCTCCTCCCCCTCCTCCCTCCTCCCATCATCATCATCATCATCATCATCATCATCATCATCATCATCATCATCATCATCATCATCATCATCATCATCATCATCATCATCATCATCATCATCATCATCATCATCATCATCATCATCATCATCATCATCATCATCATCATCATCATCATTGTCATCGTCGTCATCACACGTTTCGTGGCCCCATAGGGAGCTCCACCGAAGTCCCATGGCTGCCGTCCGCATGCGTCCCGCACACCCATTTCGGCACACCCCTCACACGTTTCGTGGCCCCACAGGGAGCTCCACCGAAGGCCCCAGTGCTGCCGTCCGCATGCGTCCCGCACACCCATTTCGGCACACCCCTCACACGTTTCGTGGCCCCATAGGGAGCTCCACCGAAGGCCCCATGGCTGCCGTCCGCATGCGTCCCGCACACCCATTTCGGCACACCCCTCACACGTTTCGTGGCCCCACAGGGAGCTCCACCGAAGGCCCCAGTGCTGCCGTCCGCATGCGTCCCGCACACCCATTTCGGCACACCCCTCACACGTTTCGTGGCCCCACAGGGAGCTCCACCGAAGGCCCCAGTGCTGCCGTCCGCATGCGTCCCGCACACCCATTTCGGCACACCCCTCACACGTTTCGTGGCCCCACAGGGCTCCACCGAAGGCCCATGGCTGCCGTCCGCATGCGTCCCGCACACCCATTTCGGCACACCCCTCACACGTTTCGTGGCCCCATAGGGAGCTCCACCGAAGGCCCCATGGCTGCCGTCCGCATGCGTCCCGCACACCCATTTCGGCACACCCCTCACACGTTTCGTGGCCCCACAGGGAGCTCCACCGAAGGCCCCAGTGCTGCCGTCCGCATGCGTCCCGCACACCCATTTCGGCACACCCCTCACACGTTTCGTGGCCCCACAGGGAGCTCCACCGAAGGCCCCAGTGCTGCCGTCCGCATGCGTCCCGCACACCCATTTCGGCACACCCCTCACACGTTTCGTGGCCCCATAGGGAGCTCCACCGAAGGCCCCATGGCTGCCGTCCGCATGCGTCCCGCACACCCATTTCGGCACACCCCTCACACGTTTCGTGGCCCCACAGGGAGCTCCACCGAAGGCCCCAGTGCTGCCGTCCGCATGCGTCCCGCACACCCATTTCGGCACACCCCTCACACGTTTCGTGGCCCCATAGGGAGCTCCACCGAAGGCCCCATGGCTGCCGTCCGCATGCGTCCCGCACACCCATTTCGGCACACCCCTCACACGTTTCGTGGCCCCATAGGGAGCTCCACCGAAGGCCCCATGGCTGCCGTCCGCATGCGTCCCGCACACCCATTTCGGCACACCCCTCACACGTTTCGTGGCCCCACAGGGAGCTCCACCGAAGGCCCCAGTGCTGCCGTCCGCATGCGTCCCGCACACCCATTTCGGCACACCCCTCACACGTTTCGTGGCCCCATAGGGAGCTCCACCGAAGGCCCCATGGCTGCCGTCCGCATGCGTCCCGCACACCCATTTCGGCACACCCCTCACACGTTTCGTGGCCCCACAGGGAGCTCCACCGAAGGCCCCAGTGCTGCCGTCCGCATGCGTCCCGCACACCCATTTCGGCACACCCCTCACACGTTTCGTGGCCCCACAGGGAGCTCCACCGAAGGCCCCAGTGCTGCCGTCCGCATGCGTCCCGCACACCCATTTCGGCACACCCCTCACACGTTTCGTGGCCCCATAGGGAGCTCCACCGAAGGCCCCATGGCTGCCGTCCGCATGCGTCCCGCACACCCATTTCGGCACACCCCTCACACGTTTCGTGGCCCCACAGGGAGCTCCACCGAAGGCCCCAGTGCTGCCGTCCCGCACACCCATTTCGGCACACCCCTCACACGTTTCGTGGCCCCATAGGGAGCTCCACCGAAGGCCCCATGGCTGCCGTCCGCATGCGTCCCGCACACCCATTTCGGCACACCCCTCACACGTTTCGTGGCCCCACAGGGAGCTCCACCGAAGGCCCCAGTGCTGCCGTCCGCATGCGTCCCGCACACCCATTTCGGCACACCCCTCACACGTTTCGTGGCTGCCGTCCGCATGCGTCCCGCACACCAGGTGTGTGGCGTGCCGACATGGGCGTCGCGGCGCGCGGGCGCTGCCGTCGGGGTTCCCAGGGAAGCCCCCTGCAGAGGCGACGCTCAGAGTCACGAGTACCGAGAGTCACGCAGACCCAAACTGTTCACAGTCGTATACATACATTTACACTGGGCGTATCCATGCACGCATTCATGCGAATAGAATCAATCGCGCGCAGATTCATTCATAATCAGACTCGCTCGCGATCCGACTCGCACGCGCTCAAGCTTTCATATTCGGACCTATCGTCTTCGTTCGTGTTGTGTACACTGCCACGCATTTCGGCACACCCCTCATACGGCTCGTGGCCCCATAGGGAGCGCCACCGAAGAAGATATTCACAATTGCGGTACTCTCAACTGCATATGGTTGGGTCCTTCGCCAGGCTAATTTTGTTCGGGAAGGCCCCTCTCCCGGCCTCCC